TTGACAAATGTGCCTTCTGTCATTTAAAAACGAAATCCAACATTCTGTGAAAAATTTTACTATGGCCTGCCATTGTCCTTATCAAGCAAACCAAGGTCCTTTCACAGAAAGACCCAACTACCATCTTACCTGATTTTTCATATTGCCATCTCTGATACACCTCTCGAACAAGTAGAATATTTTTTTTACATTCAGATAGCCTTTTATCAAACAAATACATCTCAGAAAAAGATTTGGAACACAGAATTTGTGCTTCACGCGGGGCATTTGGGAAGCTAATCAAACGATTCTTCAACAATAAGATTTGAACTTAAAAACAAAGATTATGGTCTATAATGTTGCTATATGGCTGCTAAACCTAAGCTAAAATTAGAACGCTTTTGCTAGCAAACGCTTCATTCAGTATTGAACATCAAATGGAAATACTGTGTGACCAACACCAAAGTCTTGGAAGGATCCAAAACAGCCAAGGCATCGAAACGCTAATCTTGAAATACCGTCTTCGATGGTCGGAAGTGTAGCAAGAATGGAAGAGTTAAGGTTTCCATAACAAGTGTTATTCGGTGATCTCACTTCAGGGAAAAGAGCACAGATCAATCTTTGAAGATAGAAGCACCAACTCAAAACAATACTAAAGGCCACTGGACTTGACACTGAATCTTTACCAACTGGTGGTGTTCCATCACTTTTGAAACCAAGCAGTTCGAGGCCACCAGAAGAGAAATGGAGTAAGTCAAACGACATGAAAGAAATGCTCGACAAAATCTTCTTCGTCCTCCAACATCATTATCATGCAGACAATGTCATCAGTTCTTCTATTCAAGAATTGGTTTACTTAATCATCAACACCATCATCATAAAGGAAGTGATCATTAAAGAACAAATTGAATTCTTGAATACGAGATAAAGCCGACGACGACCACGATTGGTTACGACCAACATGTCGTAAATCGATCTGGTCGTAAGTTGGTCTGAAATTAATTTTGCAACCTTTGTATCTTTCTTTAGGTATTATTGTATTTTAACTTCAGATCATGTGAGATCACATTCACTTTCTTTCCTCTTGCGCACTGTTTAATCAACCATCATTTTTGTGTCGAGATCAATAGTCCTTCCTTCGTTTTTGGCCAGCTGAGGAGTAGGCAAAGACAATTTCTTTTTGACAGACATCCTGGGAGTTTTTTGAAGAAACATTTCAGACACACAAACGGAATCGGGGGAAAGTGTATTGTACAAAGGCTGTCTTAACACTGAACATGAGGCGCGCAAGGGAATGCTAACGCTGCCGGGAACTGGTGCGGAAATTTCGATACAAGCAGGGAAACACCCACGCTGCCAGACAGGGAGCAGCAGTTGTAGCTAAACATTCCAATTCCCGGTCGTGGTGGCAAAGTCAAACAGTCGTAGGTCGTATTGGCCGTAAGCAGTCGACGACCAATACATACATATATATATATATATATATATATATATATATATATATATATATATATATATATGAAGAAAGCGGCCTGGCGATTGCGTCCAGCATGAAACAGCCTGTCGCCTCTGAGTGTTGACTTCAATGTTCACACACACACAGACACACACACACACACACACACACACACACACACACACACACACACATATATATATATATATATTATAATAAATAGAAAGAACAGTAAGATATATAATCCACTGTTCTTATTCATATCTTTATTTTTACAAAACAGTTATTACAGAGCATAAATATTGTAAATTAACTGATTTAAAATATGGTTTCTTCGCTACGCAGGAATTACCATGTTTCAAAAACCGAAGCTAAAAACTTTTGGAATAACTTAATTTTAAATTTAAAAATAAGTTATTCCAAAATTCGCTTAAAGATGAAACAGAACTAATTCTTTTAATTTAATTATATAATTAAATTTGAAGTTTTTAGCTTCGATTTTTGAAACATGGTAATTTCTGTGTAGCGAGGAAACCATATTTTAAATCAGTTAATTTATTATACATATATATATATATATATATATATATATTGCAAAAATAATAATTGGGTTTAATGGTTCTGACACCAGAAGAGAGTCCTTGACTCATGGCTTGTAATAGTAATTATGGATGCCTTAAATGGATGTCTTACATAGTTGTCGTAAATAGATACCTTAAACTAGTCTTTATAGTTTTTGATTATATTGCTTCAGTTTTTTTTGGTATTTTTTCGAAGCGGTGCCTTACAAATTTTACATTTTCAGTGGGTCATTTTCAGAGATATATATTTGATAATATATATTCGTATATATACTTAATAATATATTTCTATCGATTTATTACATTTTTTGCTTCTATTTTCCCTTAAAACTTCCTCTTTACTCACATATTTCGAAAAAAATCCATTATTAAGCTAACAATGTGATTCGCCGAGAGACCATTTAAACTAAAGCATTAAATTATCTATCTATCAATCTATCTTGTGATATATATATATATTTATGAGGGCTCTCAAATACCCCCCCACTAGAATACCCAGACTCACAAAGCAGGAATACCTATGCGCTTCATTATATTACGATATATTTTCGCCCCCTCAAACTGGTGAAAGCCATAACAAAATTTTAACAGTACTACAATCAGCTCGTCATATATGAAAGATTCAGGTAACCTGATAGAAAAACTAAGGGGAATAAATATTACTGCTAAATTCATGTCTAATTTAGATGTTAAGTCATGTTGCAACATACAGACAATGACCTAAAATTTAGTGTTCATCGCAAATCAACTAGCAATAATGACCTCATAAATTTCTATTCTCACCATGCATATTTATATAAATATATTTATGTTAATTAATTCTTAGTGTTTCTACTATTTACTCGTAGATGTTTGTTAGCTTACACCACATGTAGTGAATTCTCTGTTCGACGCAATTAGCTGGTTTTAGCATGACCTTCCTTTTGGTTTAAATAATAAATATTTATAATGTTGTCCGTTCCTCTTGTTGCAGACGCCATTTCTATTTTTGTAGATTTGTTTCCTTCTTCGTTTCGAACTACACTACTTGTGGCTATTGCCAGGAAGACTCTGCATTTTATATGGCGTTTTGGGTACTTTTTATTCAGCTTCCATTTTAGAATAATGGAGGTAATGTTTCCTCAAATACAAGAAAGAGAAAACATCTACGGACAAATGAGGGCTTCATTTATTTATAGTTTTCAGTATACAAAGATACATGCAGAATAATGCATAAACGCCCACGTGGATATAGTTCTGAGCCGAAAATGGCGGTAAAAAACATAATAATGCATATACATAAATAAGTTTCATTAAAAAACGACACTAAGTAATCCTTTTCTTTCTCTGAACGAATTTTCATTTGTTCATTTTTTTAGAGAATTTTACATTGTAGCCAATCGTTTTTTAACTACGAAGATATTCCATCCAATAACTTACAACGACAAACTCTGCCAAAAACCATACGGACGCACACACTCATAACTCAATATATATATATATATATATATATATATATATATATATATATATATATATATATATATATATAGAGAGAGAGAGAGAGAGATAGATAGATAGATAGATAAAGAGAAATTTTATATATTTGAGCAGTTACTGTTCTTTTAAAATTGCATTGCTAAAAAGATGGTCATTTTGTATCTATTATATCTATTACTGTGTGTACGAATATCCTTTAGCAAAGGTGGCTGTAGCGTGCGGATAAATTGGCCCAAATTCATGTCGTGTTGTCCTACGAGTTCGACGAGAAAGAGAGACAGTGTGTGTGTGTGTGTGTTTGTGCTTGCTTGCGTATATAAATACATTTTGTTCAAAATTTTGCATATATATATATATATATATATATATATATATATATATATATATGGGTAAAGAATGCTCACTATCGGGAATTAAAAAAAATAGAGATACAAGGGGCTTAAAATATATAAAAAAATAACACTGACATCTAATTTTAACAGATATATTTGCCAAAATTACACGAAAATATCTTGAAATCCGAACGAGTAAATTTAACTACGGCCGCCATATGTCTTCGGAATCTGCAACTCTTTTGAGCAGTTTCCTTGTTTAAGTTTGAGTGGTGATGTGGACGCAGAAATTGACTGACAGCTTTGACTGGGTTCTCCCATGTGGCGCATGTGGCAGGGTCCTGTTGCCGCACATATGTTCCTCCAGCAGATACCCCCCTTGACCCAGTGCGGAACTACCTACTCAAGGCACTTGATGTAAGCATCCGTGTTGAGTGTGAGGTTATGTGGGAAGATGAGTGTACGTATAACGTCGCCATCACTCGACTCATCCAACTCTTTCTGATCCCTCTGCACTGTCCCCAGATTGACAGCCAAACACCCTGAAACTTCGTACTGGAGCTTCTGGTGCGAATGCCAAGTAGTACAGCATGATGTTTCCAAATTTCTGGCGGGGTGGATGACGTCATTGTTCTCTTTTTCTCAGAACTGACACAACTTGTCGACATACTCAAATCAAACAAAGCGCATATTAAAAAATATTAATAAAATTAAAAAATATAAAATGACAACAATTTAAGCATCGCACTATATATATATATATATATATATATATATATATATATATATATATATAATATATCTAAAAGTATATCAATAAAAGCGTAAATGAAAAAATATTGTTTATTATGTTCGCTGAGTTTAGTTCTTATCTCCATTCATTAGTCATTTGTTTATAAATATATTGTTCTTTTTTTTACTTACGTGGGCATATCCTATTTGTTTATGCATATGCATTTGTATGCGTGTGTCTATACGTGCCTTTGTCTGTGTATGCGCGTGTATATGTGAAAATTTGTGTCTGTATTGTATATATAGGAGTGATCACGCCTGTGTTTGAAGGAGACGTGCGGGAACGTACGGATTTATTTTGAGAGAATAATTTAGTGTCTACTTGTCTACCATTGTTATTTATGCGTTTTTATTTGAACAAATATTTCTCTTTCACAACAGAAACGCTTATCTATCTATCTATCTATCTATCTATCTATCTATCATTTTCATTCTGATTATCTATCTATCTATCTATCTATCTATTCTGATTATCTATCTATCTATCTATCTATCTATCTATCTATCTATCTATCTATCTATCTAAGTCCGTTCATATCTATTTATCTATCTATGTAAAGAATGTATGTATAAAATCATCTATTCCTCCACACAGATATATATACATGCACAGACATATATACATATATATGTGTGCGTGTGTGTGTATCATTTACCTATGTCTTTCTGACTATCTATCTATCTATCTATCTATCTATCTATCTATCTATCGTTTTCATTCTGCTTATCTATCTATCTATCTATCTATCTATCTATCTATCTATCTATCGTTTTCATTCTGTTTATCTATCTATCTATCTATCTATCTATCTATCTATCTATCTGTCTGTCTGTCTGTTATTCATATAATGTTTAACACGCGGACAAAATTATATTAATCCCTATAAATATTTGATAAATTCTTTTCTGCTGGTGTCTGAAAAGCAATTTACACATGAATTCCCTTATACGATGTACGCATATTTGAATTAAATTGAATTCTAGCGATCTAAGCAAAAATAACAACACCATTCTTTGATGTAGCCAACAAAATCATGTCTACCCTACTGAAAATATCCATTGGTCGATAATGGCTGGCATGGTAGATAATAGTTAGACAGAAACAGAAAAGCAAGAACTTTAGACAGTTTATACACAATTAGGTTCCTTATTCGAAAATAGTAAAAAAGAAACAGAAATACCTTCCAGGATGAATTTCGAAGAGCTTGACTAAATGGAGTTGTGCTGGCAAAATATAATATATATATATATATATATATATATATATATATATATATATATATATATATATATATATATATATATATATATATATATATATATATATATATATATATATATATATATATACAGTACGAAGCCAAAAAATGCGAGCACCCATAGAAATGATGATGTACAAAATATAAAGCTTATTATATTTCTGTTTACATTTATTAACATGCCTAAGCATTGCAAGCATTGTTCTGACGCTTTTCATGATCTTGGGCTGCCGAATAGATTGATAGCTGATCAGATTAATCGAAGTGAGTCATGTGTCTGCAAGTTAATCAAAAAGAGAAATCAAACTGGAACATATAATAGACATAGCGGATCTGACAGACCGCTAAAAACTACCGGTAGGGAAGACAGAAATTTGGTTTGTCAATGTAAAACAAAGATCGATTCGCTACAGCACAAGATGTTTCCAAAGTGGCTAGTTTGGCGGTTTCTTCAAGAACAGTCAGAGACAGGCTTAAAGCAAAAGGCGTTTTTCCAAATACATAAAAAAGAAACCTTTCGTATCTGGAAAAAATCGACTGGTATGGTTGGCTTGGTGCAAAGCTCATTTACACTGGACTAAACACGATTGGGAAGATGTTATAGTGATTTTCCAAGCGTAGCTCAGATGTGGCACGAGGCCGAATGTATGGGGCACCCAGTGAGGATCGAACTCACTACTCAGTCATAATTGTGCTAGCAAGACAAGCTTGCTAACCGTTACATCGCCTCGAGGTGCCCATATAGCGATTTTCTAAGGCCGGCTTTGATGTGGCACAAGGCCGAAAGTATGGGGCACCCAGTGAGGATTGAACTCACTACACAGTCGTAACTGATCTGGCAAGACAAGCTTTCTAACCATTACAGCACGTCGAGATGCCCAAATTGGGAAGATGTTATATGAAATGACGAGAGCCCCTTTACTCTTAGATATGAAGACGAATACGTGTTTGGTGTACGCCCGGGGAAATGAAGACTCTAGTGACTACCAAGGGCATTGTTAAACATGATAAAAAAAAACATCAAGAGTTGATAATTTGTAAAAAAATCAAGGCTATCATGGACCTGCATCAATACCACAACTTTCTTGTTAACCAAATATGGTTTTCGGCTAAAAACTGTTTGCCCAAGGTCAACGTTTTACGTTCTAACATGATAACGATCCTAAGCATATCGACTTAAAGAATAAACTTTATCTACAGAGGAAGCGTGACGAGGGTAAATGCAACTCTTCCAGTGGCCTAGTCAGAATCATGACTCTAACCCAATTGAAAACCTTTGGGCGATAATGGAAAAGCGTGCATGTAAAAAAAAATGAACACAGAAGATTAGCTTTTTCACGAATTAAAGAACTGTTGAAAAAAAGGACGTTGACTTACTAAAAAATTTAGTCTGTAGTATGTCACGAAGAATTAAGGCCGCTATTAAAGCAAAAGGTTACCCCCAAAATACTAAATTATTTGTTGACTTGAATAATGTAAATTTGTACATTTGTATTAATACCCTGTAATTGTAATTCAAAGAAGTCGAATCGCTAAGCACACTTCTGTTTCTTGCCCTGATTATTGAAATCACTTTCAGATTATTATTTTTGCAAAGGCATCCGATTCTCCCAGCATCAAGTTCCATTGCCAGTAATTCAAACAGGAGTTTTGTCACTTGAACGCTAACATTGTAAACAGATTGTAAAAGTTAATCTTTGAATCCATTCCTGAGATACGCGAAATCTAAAAGAAAGACTGACGTCATTTCGAAACGAGTGACTGCATACTATTGTAATACCTGAATATCTCTTATTGCAATCGAGTCTTTTACGATTCAATTCTGGTAACTTTGAAGATTATATTTACGAAGATCATAGGTTAATCAAACGGCAAGTATTGGCAAGCCAATTCTGCACATTGTCGATAAATTCCCAACAATGATATAATGAAGAGAAGTCAATATATCACTGTTTTTTGTTTTAAGAAAATAAATCAGTGTGAATATTCACTTATATATACTAATATAGAAATATATATTGAATCATGACGGCTTTAAAAATAATGTCTTATTATTGACTTACGACATAACAGAATCGAAAGTGTTAGTGATAATTTGAACAAATGCTGAGGAAATAAAAATTCAATTGATTTATGCTAAAATTACACTTGTTCTGACACTAAATGCATAAATGAACGAATGAAGCAAAAAGTCTACTTCTTCTAACCTTGTGAACTGGCGCTACAGAATCACAAAGAACTGTATCGAATAACAAAAATCACATCATTTAAGGACTTTCAACAAGTAGATAGTTTCGCCTATCGCCCGGTTCACATTCCTTCTCCGTCTTTTGAACAGGACTAAAGGTTGGTCCCTTGTTCCCTGTTTAGGACTGGGTTGCCGGTTCTATTTCCAAATTCTCTTTCACTCCCAGTAACCCCTTACGTCTTAGTGGCATTATCGCCTTCTTTAGGGTGAAATGATAATAAAAACAGCATGGATATCCCACAAAGTAAGGACATAATCAAGATGCTGACATTCCACACTTTCCATGTTTCAAACAAAATGTTAAGAAGGAAACCGTATCAGTACTAGAAAGGGTGATAACAGTTCATGAATATGAGAAACCTATTTTCCTTAAAAATTATTTTAAGACTATTGTGGGGCTCGCCCCTTGTACACAAGATGGACTCGTCCAAAGTATACTTATACTACGGAGAGATAGCGTGACAAACGTCGAGACAGGGTGCTCACCCAGAGTTATACGAGAGTCCGGAAAGAGAGATTACTGCTTCACTTACAGAGACTTGTACATATACTTTTCTACTAACCCGCATTCCTGGACAACTAATCTTCATTTCAAGTTTGTATTCTTACGTTTAATACACATATTTTTCTATTTCAATTACTGGCGTTGTTTATTTATTTGTGCAGGACTCCATCCCCGGAATCCACAACAAAGACAAAGATTTTAAAAATTTCAACCGAAAGTAGCACTGGCCGCTCCGGCAATAAATGCCGAATGTTTCCTTATAAGGAAACTGCTAGTATTATTAACATTTCCTTTGAGCAAAGTTTACTTATTGTATTTGATGCGAGTACGTTGTCAACCATTTAAGTATTGATCGGAGTCATCGTTGCGTAACTTTCGTAATCTCTTTATAAGACTAAGCGTTGCCTTGTCTGACGTGAACCCAAAGCTGTTTACAGTAATTTATATTGTCATGCAGTTCCCTATTATCACTTTCGACACAGTTTAAATTCTGTATTTATATGGAAATGGGTCTTTTTCAGTCTAAGACATGTAATATTAAAACGTTTGGATCAATATATACTGCCTTACCTACGTCCACGCATAGGTGTGTGGAAGATTGTTTTGATACAAAGAATGAAAACGACAATGAGAGAGAGAGAGAGAGAGAGAGAGAGAGAGAAATTGAGAGACTCTGTTATGGCACTAATTAAATTAACTGGTCCACTCATAAAAGATAGGAAGTTATATTTTAGCAAATGTTTCTAGATTAACATTAATAGGTTTCTCAAGCCACAGCTGATAAACAGAATCGAAAAAAAAGTACTTATTTATTTTTTATCATTCTAAAAGTGTGACTTTTTCATAATATAAACAGTGTGAAATGGACCCTTAAATTCATAAAGAGTTATCTGAATTTTTTTTATGCACACACACACACACACATACACACACACACACACACACACACACATATATATATATATATGTGTGTGTGTGTGTGTGTGTGCGTGTGTATGAGAAAGGGCCAGAAATAGACAGACATGCTGATATATATAAAAATATATATCTATACCTACAAATTTCAACTTACATGGAAAAGTTCCACTAACCTACACACAACAGAGAAAAAAAATGGAAGGCAATCACTCAGGAATGAATAGACTTGGACCTGATTGCGTCTCAGAGGATAACGGAAGACAAGAAAGGATAGAGTGAGCATGTAATCGACGCTGAACATATATATATATATATATATATATATATATATATATATATATCACAATGTTTGTGTCTCTGTGTGTGTGAGAGAGAGTGTGCATTGTTTTAAGTATATACATGCTAGAATTTTTGGGCAACACGCTGAAATCATCACAGTATTTATTATTGTTGAAGTTATCGCTAACATTTTTTGTCGAGATTTACAAACTCTACGTTTCATTCAATGTCGCAAACCAGTCGATGAAATTTTTTTAAAAAAAGCTGATTTCTTTGGAAAATACTTTGACCAAAACCCTACTTCGTGGTTTAATGATTTCTTTAATTTGATTTCATCGGACTTCACAGTAAATAACACATTGTAAGAAAAAATTATTTTTCCCTTTTCATTTTTAACAGCGAAGAATAAATTCTTAGCATTTCTTACTCTTGAGCATGCAACATACAACTGGTTATGCCTTACTATTTCTTTCTGGAGCTAAATTCCAACTTTTGGAAGCCTTTGCTTTGTGATTGGTTTATAATCCTCGCAAACACAAGGCGAACTGGAAACTGAATTCTTTTATATAAAAACTTAAAGATATACAATAAACAATATTGCATTTTTATTAAGTATTTGTTACTTAAATCATTATTTTTTTTTCAAATAGTGGGAGTATTTTCTATGTTAAATAATAAATTTTTAAAATTTATTTCAAAAAATGAACGAAAATTTATTGTCCTAAGCTACGTGCCCTAGTAAAACCAAGTGTACTTTGTACCAACCTTAACTGTTTACACTTCTCCCCAAAATTTGGTTCCTATCGGTCAATGTATGGTTATTTTAGTGGGTGTGGCGGACGGACTAACCGAGTTACAGAATTTTATATATAGATTTCTAATATATTGGCTGGAATGATATTGGTGGGTGGTCATGTGTAGTGTCTATCCTTCTCCAGACATGTCTGGAACTGTTCCAACTAAAGATTTGTCGCATCGTCAGACAATAATATTTTCTTTCAGAACGATGCAGCTTCTTGACATGATTAGGGGTAAACTATAGACAAACCCTGGACTGCGATAGAAAGATCTTGGTAAGAATTGTAGCATTTTGTCCTAGACCGATGGACTAATTGTATCTTTACATACTTCCATGCCAGCTGCCTGAAGATTCTTTTGACGTTTTTTTATTGTGTTGGATATTACTTCACAACAAATGGAAGTAACTTCTTGTTCACTTAATTTACGGAGCAGTTCGGTAGTCAGGCTATGATTCTTCCAATTTCAAATGATGGCTGTTATCTTACTGATTGGAATCTTGAGCTTCTTGGAAATCTTTCGATATCTCATTCCACAACTGTGATGGTCTATTATCATCTGATGAAATTTTTGGGACAGCTCCTTCGCACATATCAGCCAGATCTTCAATGACCATTTAGCGTATACGAAGACGCTGTAAGTTACCGGCAATAATGGGTGTGAATTGGTCCATGGAAATTAACAGACATAGATAAAGTGCTCAATGAAAATAAACATAGATAGATAGATAGATAGATAGATAGATAGATAGATAGATAGATAGATATAGAGTTTGGTGTTGCGGTGGAGATATCTCAAAATCTACTTTTTACCTGAGCTCAAACATCTACCATAGGATAGATAGATAGATAGATAGATAGATAGATAGATAGATAGTGTTATGGTCCAGGTTAGGACCAAGGAAGAACAACACGAACACAAGAGTAGAAATAACGAAGGTATATTACACAAAATAATAATACAAGAGGTGGAAGGTGTTAGTATGACTGTCAGTCTGGTTTGGAGTGAACTACTATCGGCTCGATTCGATTCGTCCCCCTCTCTCTTGAGAGGCGTAGTATACATAGTGTTAGGAAGAGTTCATTCTGTAGTTATATGACAGATAGATAGATAGATAGATAGATAGATAGATAGATAGATAGATAGATAAATAGATAGATAGATAGATAGATTTACTGTTACATGCCTCCACCACCACCCCCACCACAAAAAAACAACAAAACAAAACAAAAAAAAAAAACAAAAAAAAAAAACAAAAAAACAAAACAAACAATGCAAATACAAAAGAAAACAAACATCGGTTGGATTAAAAATTTAAACCTGCCACAATCTTAAAGAAAACATGACCTTGTATTGTACGTAGCTTAACTAATTTATGCGACGTCAATAAATGACACACTTTTTCCACACACATACACGCCCATATATATATATATATATATATATATATATATATATATATATATATATATATATATATATATATATGAGTGTGTGTGTGTGTGTGTATAGCCATTCACACCTACAAGTATGCATAAGATTTTAGCTATGAACTCTATATGAATGTATTTTCACAGACTTGCGTCTATGTATGCAAGAATGTTGTGTCTTCTTCACCTCCATATCGACACGCACACGTATGTGCTCATCTTAAAATACAAAAATGAAGAAAAAAGAAAGAGGTGGATTATAGTAAATAATAAAATGAATTGCACTAAAGGAAAGAAAAGAAAGAAGAACAAAAAAGCAGATAGAATTAGTAATTCCTGGTAATCTCTGGTAATTCTCTGTAATTCCTTTCCCAAGGTCTGGGAAGGACAGTGTAAGCAAATGCAAAATACAAATAAATAAACGTAAGAAACCTGGCGAAGGAAAAATGAAAGAAAATATAAAGTTTTCTTCGAATTAAAAATATTCCGAAATACGCAAAAAAGAAAGAAAGAGTAAAATGATAAAAAGAAAAAAAAACATGGCTTTTATATCTCAAGAAAAAAAAAAAAAAAAAAAAGGAGAGAGATAGAAAATTCTTAAAACGAAAAGCGTCTTCGTTATATTTTTTTCGTTAAAATCTGCCAGGGTTACGACGTAAAAGTGAAGCTAACTATAATCTGCAAAAATGTAGACGACTATTTCGGATTTTGGTTCTGCTAGGGCATTTCCCAGGTATGTACGCAGACGGCAAGGAATATGTAACAGGTTTAAGAATGTTCGGGAAGAATTAGAATTAAGAAAGGGGAGAATCTGGTCGGAAACAAAGTGGATGATGGAAAATTTCCTAAGAGATGACGAGGAGACATGAGGCAACAGCGATGTAGTTTTACAGAAGGCTTATGAGAATGTCATGGACGGAACATGTGAACAATGAGGAAATTTTAAGGAAAATGGCAACAGAAAGGACTCTGTATATTTAGAATGAGAAAGAGATAGTTGAAATTTCTAGGACACATAATTAGGAAAGAGGGTTTGGAAAATTTAACACTCAGAGGACACACCAAAGTTATGAGGACAGAAGTAAACAGGGAATAAATGCCCTAACGAGCTTAAAATAAATAGACGCGAAGGAACATGGTACACAAGAAGAGTAGAGCTAAAGAGAGGGGTAACCTTTTCCTCTCCCTCCCTCTTCTTCTGATCTTTAAGATTAGATCGTCTATTTTGTGTGTGTATGTCACCACAAAATGTATCCTTTCCGGTTACATCCTTAATGTATTAGACATCCGACAACATTCATATTTCTCTCACTTAAACCGTATTTAACTCACCTCTCTAAAACTTATCTCTGTTAAGTTTTAATCTCCCACCTTCTCTCGTCTGTTACCCCTCTCTTTAGCTCTAACATTCGTCCCACACTCTCATACTTACACTCTCTCTAAATTCTATTTTTTATTTCCGTAGTGTTTTTTTCTGTTTTCTTTTTCAATTTGTAGATCTGATGAATTGGATCGTATTTACGATTCCAATGGAATAAATTATGGCCATGAAATATTAGTGTTTAAGCCTTTTTATTATATATTGGCTGTATCATAGTGGAAAGTAAATGCTTTGAAAATGTTCGGAAGTTTTCTTTACACCCTGAAGTACATTCATACGGCCATGTATATATATATATAAACAAATAAAAATCAGAAACTTATCTTCCCAATTTCAAGTTTCACAGATTTAATCCATTCATCAGTACATTAGATAATTCGATTGAAGTTGAACGATGATTTGAATTAATATGATTTTATTTTAAATTGTTCTTTCTTAAGGACATCACTGCGTGACGTTATCTAATATGACATTGTTCGATTATTGTTTTATTAATTAATATTTATATAGTTTTTTCCCGTTAGGGATAGCAATATGGGCATATAAAATTTTAAGTTAATAAATATAGTAAAGTGTTCCCAATATTTATAACTAATTGGTTATTCGATAAAGTTGGCTTCTCCAAATTTAAGATCCGATTGCTTTGTATAATAGCGTCTTCAAGATAGAGTCAATTTTTAATAAGTTGACATTAAAGATGGACTTTTTCAATGGAACGTTTTTTAAGCAATATATGATATCTGTTCTTGTACCTGGTTCTCGAAGGAAGCGAGAGAGAGACTTTGAACCGAATCATTATTTACATAATTTATACTGTTCCGACTTTTGTCCTCATCTTTATTGCCATATTCACGGCGTTTCTGTCGGTGCACACTCCGACCTTTTTCAGGTGATTGAGATTTCGAACTGTACCTTTTATTTCGTGCACCGGGATAGATTATTCTAGTTCTACGTGCCATGCCACTTCCAGGTGTCTCAGATATCTCCCTTTAACTCAACTCTCCAAATTTCTGTTCACTACTGCCGTAGCCAGGTATTGAACTCACAACTCTTTGGGTCAAGTCAATGGCTCCAATCAACGCTTTTATCTACTGGGCCATGTGTCATTGAAATGTGTGAATATGGCAATGAAGATGAGGGCAACAGTCCGAATGATGTAAATAATGTAAATAATTAAATTACCCCATCTTAGAAATATAGACAGAACAGAATCATGTTGTGTAAGAAAAACTCAAGAAACATTTTCGTAAGGCTCCTGGTGTTAATTTACTTGAAAATGTTGCCACGGAATTTCATTTAATGTGTAATGAATGTGGTAGTGTCGGCTTAAATAGGGCAGCTCTAGAACATGATTGCAGATTCCGCACACAGAGGTCATTCATCATACGTTATGCGGTATGTCGACTTGCAGAGAGTGTAAAAAAGAATGCGTGTCATTTGGTGGACTCAAACGATAATTGAAAATCTGCTAAAATATTAATGTAACAATTACTGCAAAAAAAAAAAACATTCCTTTGCACCGCCATGATTAACCTTCACGACTAGGACCCGCCATGCCACGTACAACTTAACAAACCACCTACATTGCCCACGTTTGCCATCGGCGAGAAATAAGTTCCACTCAAAAAAGACAATGTCGCTACATCTTCGCCAGAGAATGTAAGACTCTAATTAGACTAAAAAGCTGCATCCGCATCGTTCATATTTGAAGATGGATCAAGCGATGACATTTGTCAAAATCAAGTCGAAACCATAATGTATGCAACAATTCTTCTACGGGTAGGTAGTAAAAGTTCTCAGTTCAGTTTCCAAAATAACACCAAATTCCTACGTATTAAGTATTCGTCTAGCAGTAATATCTGTTAAAGTTGTTACAACAATTAGATATTCACAAGTGACGGTTATGTTCCCCAGTAATCTAGTTTTACGTTCTTATTCTTTTCATGCGTCTTACTGATTCGATTGTCTTATTGTTTAGAGACAAAAGAATAATGATGAAGAATTCTCCTTACTGTTGGTATAAAGCGGTTATGTCGAACGTACATGGTCCAACTACAAAATTCGAGACTCTAAGAAAGATAACTCATATACAGACAGACAAAACGGATAAAAATATAAATGGGGAAGAAACGTTAGATGAAAATATTTGGGGAATGAATATACATGCACTTTCACTTATCTCGTTTGTAACTTTATCTTGGCGTGTTAGACTATGTCTTGATGAGAGTACGATGGACCGATAAACTGGATTAGAATAACTAGATGGTAAGCTAAATACAGAGGAAGAAACTTAAATAGATAAATCCAGAGAACAAAATTAGCTATATATATATATATATATATATATATATATATATAGAGAGAGAGAGAGAGAGAGAGAGAGAGAAATAGATAGATAGATACTGAACAGGCAGAGAAATGTATAGATATAGATATGAATTAATGGAGATAGGGATTAAAGAAGATAAATTTAGCTATTTGATATGTTTATGGTCAGTTGGAAATTGTTTACTGCATCAGTATTTACACTTGGACATTTCTTATTAAGTACTGTCAAGCGAACTGTTCTCACAGACCATTAATTCTTTTCTTTTTATGTGCCGTGTCGTTTCAGGATGTAGGCGATCATGGCTCGCCACTTCCCTCATCCCTTTACCTCTCAATAAGTTTTGTCCCTTTGCTACTTTCATCGTGCCATGTTCTGTCATCCACTTGCTTAAGGCCGTAAGGTATGTCATGCGTTTCTTCCCTTGTTCATATGTCCCCTCTCTTCGACCTACGAGTATCAGATTCGCCAACCCCTCCTTTCTCATTACGTGTCCCAGAAATTTCATCTACGTCTACATGATGTTAATTATAAGTTTCCTCCTGGTTTGCATCCTCTCCAAAACTTCATCGTTGCTCACACGCTCGGTTTATGATATCGTTTGGCATCCCATCTGTAGAACCATACCTCCATTGACTCGAGTCTTTTCTTCATCTTTTAGGAGACCGTCCAACATTCGCTGCCTTAAAGGAGGACAGATTTCACGTAGCAGCTCAGTACTCTTTTCTTTGTTACCAAACAACTTCTCCTGTCTCGTAATACTCTGCTTAGCTTTTGGAATGCTTCTTTGTCCATCCCAATACGTCTTTGGATCTCAGCGTCGCACTTACCGTACTGTGTCAAGACTCTTACCAGATATTTAAATTTCCTCAACAGGACAGAAAACATGCTCGTCGACAGGCTGCATAAAAACAAAGTATGGTACTCTCATATTAGAGAAGGAAAAGATTCTTCAGCGCTGGAGTGAGTATATTGGGGAACTCTTCCACGACGAAAGAGAATAACCAGAAATACACAGAACTACCGAGGGATCTGAAATTATAAAAACCGAAGTAGAAGCTGAACTAGCCAAATTGAACAGAAACAAGGCGGCAGGGCCAGACGGAATTGTAACGGAAATGCTGACAGCCTTAGATGATTTTGGCATAGACAAGATCGCAGAAATAAATGAAATTTATACCATTGGGGGATATACCGGAAGGTCTGAGCAGATCTATTTTCATAGCATTGCCTAAGAAACCGGGAGCAAGCGAATATGAACTCCACCGAACAATCAGTCTAATGAGGCAGGTAAAAAAAAACTCATTATCCGTATTCTGATGAATAGAGCGCGCAGCAGAATCAGACCAGATATACAAGAACAGTGCAGGTTCGTTAAAGACACGGGAACAAGGAACGCGATATTCATGCTCAGAATGTTATCAGAAAGAGCAATACAAATGCAGAAGGACATGCACCCGTGTTTTATAGACTATAACAAAGTGCACCGCAAAGATCTGTTGGAATTGCTCAGTAAGCTTTATATATTTGGGAAATATATTAGAATAATCAAGAACCTATACTGGCAGCAAATATCATGCATGCGCATAGAGAATGAGTTCAGCAGATAAACAAAAATAGAAAGGGGTGCCTCTCACCGGACTTATTCAAACTATACAGCGAGGCAATTCTAAGAGAACTGGAAATCCTATCGGGATTTATCATTGGCAGCCACAATTTTAACAACATAGATACACAGATGACACAATACTGATAGCAGATACGGAAAAGAAATTACAATACCTTCTACAGGTAGCGACGGAGAACGAGAAGAAGGGTTTAACCATAAACTACAAGAAGACAGAATGCATGGTCATCAGTAAAAAAGGATGAGGCCGAAATGCGATTTGCAGGTAGGGGACAGTAAAATCAAGCAAGACCATTAATACTTTGTTTAAAACTCATTACAGGATTTTAAACTAATATAAATTTGCTTAAAACATTTTAATATTTTCATCATAATTTTCATCTGTAATCTTAAAGTTAAATCTGGATAAAGGCTTCAGTAACGATGGATCCAGAGAAACTCAAATTAACTAAACTAGCGTAGCAACTATCGCTCTGTCCTAGGCGTTTCATATAGATATAAAAGTACCAAAAAGGAACTGTCGTCCAAAAGTACACAGTACAAGAATGTTCGAACTTCATGATATTTAGGCGTTCTTATAGAAAAAAAATTGTAGAATCGGTTAAAAAAAAAGAACACGCTTCTTTAATTATTTATTCCCATTTTCAAATAGGATTTGAATTTTATCGTTAAATTAACTGATCAGTTCTCAATGATTGCAGTTTTTTTTTTAATATTTCATGAAAAGTTAGTGATAGTATCAAAAATAAATAACCTGATAGATTTTTCATCTATTTTAGAAATACGATATTCGAGAAATGTTTATAGTATGTTTTTAGATGCTAAATAAATTTCTGACTTTTAGCTAAACTTGGAGGAGCAGAGATGATGCTATTAGCAACAACATTGAAATGAGTTATTTTTTCCTAGAAACTACGCCTAACATATTTGATGGTCATCTTTGGTAAGAAATATCTAATCGACCAGGTCTAATTTTGTTGGCATTATGATTTTATCTATATAATCTCGTATACATCTAAAAGCTGGATTTCCCTTAGGATTAGCAATCCAATTACGAAACTCGCATCCAGAATTTCTGAGCTCTCGTTTGCGATTACATATCAGCATAAACGGATTTAATCTTGATTAGCTTCAAATATTTACTATTCAGCAAAAATGCTTCATTTTTTTCTTCAAGCCTCAGCAGATAACTTTTTGTCAAAATATGAAGTTAGACACAAGAGAAAACGATATCGTAAAAATGTTTTCGTTTTTTTTCCTATTCTCATAGGATATTCATATTTAGCAAATATTTTTAAAGTCTAATTAATAACAAACATATTTATCATTTATTAAACTTACATTTTCCTACTTGTTTTTCAGCCTGTTTCATGCATAGCAACTTAAAAATAAATTTATGCATGAAAGAGGTTGAAAATGGGTAACTAAATAAAATGTTTTTATGTGTATTAAAAAGCTCTCTGAAAAGAATTTAAAACAGTGCACTGATATAAACAAGAAAAGAAATATGTAAATAATATCTACGATATTTTTTTCTCATTGGCAAGTGGAACGAATTGGGAACATTACAGCACCCCACTCTCATAGATACATAGGAATAGATATAGATAAAAATAAATGGAATGAGATAGATAGTGTTGTGGAGTTATTTCGCTGTGGAGGATTGTATTTGAGTCAGTCCTAAAATAGGTTCGAAGTACAAAACATTAGGAACTTGGTATTATGCAGAGTAATCTCGTGTTGGTAGCGGATATTTTCGTATTAAACTAACTGTCGTCCAACATTGACTCACTGATCGACCGACTGACTGACGATATTCCAAAAATATGCCCATTGAACCCGTATAAACGGATTCAGGGTCGGTTTACCTCCCCGAAAGAGACTCCGCCCTTCGGCGTAGCCTCGTTCGGGTTCCTTCCCGCCCGAAGGTCGAGAGTTCAACCGATCAGCCGATCGTCCGAGATCGACTTGAACTACTGACTGACTGACGATATTCAGTCACCCCCACCCCACTGGGGCAGCATGTGACACAAGGTCGGTTATTTAATGTGGGATATCCGAGCCCGTGGGCTCGGCCCCAAAATATGCCCATTGAACACGTATAAACGGGTTCAGGGACGGTTTACCTCCCCGAACGAGACTCCACCCTTCGGCGTAGCCTCGCTCGGGTTCCTCCCCGCCCGAAGGCAGAGAGTTCAACCGGTCAGCCGGTCGACCGAGATCGACTTGAACTACTAACTGACTCCTTGTTTCTTTTACTACTCCTACTCATTATAGGTGGGAGAGTCTATTAACTATGGAATAGGTGTGTTCCACCATAACAGATAGATAGATAGATAGATAGATAGATAGATAGATAGATAGATAGATAGATACTGAACACCTGTCGATAGGCATAGAGCTAGATATGAACTGATGGGAAAAGATAAGGATTTAAGAACAAAAATGACATTTAATCATTTGGCAAGTAGAGTGAAAAGAATTTTAAGCACACCATTCTCGTAGGCTGCGTTATAAGAAGAGAGATAAATATGAATAAACGGAATGAGATAGATAGATAGATAGATAGATAGATAGATAGATATGAAAAAGAGGGAAATAAGGAAAAATGTCACATACACACGCACAAAAACTCATATATATATATATATATATATATATATATATATATATATATATATAATGTATCTTTTTATCATTTCTTATTTGTAATAATTTCACCCCAAGCAAGGCGATAATACCAGGAAAACCCAAGGAGTTACTGGGGGTGAAAGGGAATACGAAATCTTTACTGAGGAAAAAGGACAATAAAAGAACAGTTTCAAGAAGACAAGCGATAACGATTGCGTTGCATTGAAATATTTGAAGATTGTAGATGGCATAGAAGCGAGAAATCGGAAGGAAGTTCCACAAGTAAGATGTGCGGAAAAACCTTTTTTTCTTAGAGTAGAACATACGGTTGCATCTAGCGAGTTAAATAGTAAAACGCTGAGACCTAGTTGGCGATCTAGTAGCACACTTACATTCATGCAGTTGAGGCACCGGGAAAAGCTCATCAGAAAAGTTACCTGGAATATATTTGCAGAAAAGACAAAAGGGAATCCACGTCATGTCGACGAGAAAGTTACTGAAGTCGAGATGCCAGGTTAGAATTGATTATATCACAGATTCTTCTTTGGATTTTGTCAAGAATTTCACGATATATAGTAGGGACACCAGGCGAGTAATATTTAATGCAAGATCAAATGGTAGATTTATAAATGTGCAAGTTGGATCCGGTCGTGAAAAATTGTCTGGCACGACATACTGAATCAATTTTCATTGCAGGAGATCTGGCAATTGATTCAATATAGTCGCTTCACTTCATGTCAGGGGGAAAAAGTGAGATGAAGGTGGCGTAAATTGTGGCTCTCCTGGAGTTTAGCATTAGCCCTAAATTTTCTCTGTGGTGATTAAAAGAAAGAAGTTTTTTGTTTTGGAGTTTTGTTAAAACCTACCGATCATTTCTTGATCCAATTAACAACTGATTGGAGGTCCTTTTGGATAGCAATTGTCAGATTTACTTTGTTTGATTTTTTGGACTTGCTACTAAGACAGTAGTAAATGGTTGTACCATCTGCATAAATACCTAGTTGGAAACTGATGACATCAGGAAGGTCGATGATGGAAATTAAAAAGCAGCGTAGGTTCAAGGATAGAGCACGGAGGAATCCATGCATTAACATAAAATAAGCTAGAAGGATCTCCGTTCAAAACAACCTTCATTACACAATTTGTTAAGAATAAGCCAATATTTGTCCTGTTTCACCGTAGCCACTGAGCTTGTGGAGAAGGCCAGTATATCAAACCCTGTCGAAAGACTTCGAGATATACGAAACAGCCCGAGATTCGTCCGTTCCTCTCTAAATGCTGATAGGCAAATTCAGTAATAGCCATTAAAATATTGGTGGTAGATCTGTAGAAATGGTGGCGATATTGTTTATTAGAAATAAGGCCGTGTGAAGTTAGATGCTTAACCAATTCGGCGTTGATTAGAGCCTCTTTTACATTACCAAAAACAGGTACAAAGCGATAATTCAAGGGGTTAGAAGGTTCAACAGAGTTCATAAAGATATGAATAGCAGAGGAAGATTTGTTGCAACAAGCTTGAAAGCAAGAAGCAGTCAAACATTTATTTTAGAGTTTGAAGAAAACAGGAAAAATCTGTTCATAAGCACGTTTCTTTAGGACAATTGAAGGGAAAACGTCGAATCCACAAAAGGCTTGTGAGGATCTAGTTTAGAAATGACAGTAGAAACCATGGGCAGTTAGACTTCATATCAGTCAGTTGCTAAGTTATAAATAATGAGACAGCGATAAACTGATATAAATATAAAGAATGAGACAGATAGATAGATAGATAGATAGATAGATAGATAGATATGAACAAAAGGAGAAAGTCAATGAAAGAGATAGGAAATCGGACACGTGAACTCACAGACCACGTATATATATATATATATATATATATATATATATATATGTGTGTGTGTGTGTGTGTGTGTGTGTGTGTGTGAAAATGTTTTGGGGGTTTCATCTCATTACCACTTTGGGGCAAATTTCCCTCTTGAATCATGACAGTGGGAGTATCATATTCATGACATAGCTTCAAAAGTAATCTCGAATCAAATCAGGCTTTTCTCAAATCCTCTATTCTGTATGAAATATCAAGGCATGCCAGTGATATGACATAATGTTAACATAGATAGCAATGTAAGAGAAAAATAAGATAGATAGATAGATACAGACTGATTTAATTTCGCGCATGCGCGTTGTTTTTGATTTTGTCGATTGCATAGTATAGTAGAGTCAGTTGGGAACCGTCTGTGTGAAAAAGAGCACCAAGACGTAATTCACTCCGCCAGAAATTCTTAAACGTCGTGCAGTATTACTTGGCATTCGCACAGGAATCTCCAATGCGAACATTTCAGAGTGTTTGGGTTTCAATCTGAGGACAATGCAGAGGATTCGGAAAGAGGTGGAGGAGTCTAATGGTGATCACGAATGTGATTAGAGTGATCACTAGTGATGACGACGTTATGCTTCCATTCATCAACACAGTAGACCGTTCAGAAATGTTGAGGGAGATTACGAATTTGTTTGGAGGCAGTGGTTGAAGCCAATGGTGATTTTGTTGAATAAATTTACTCTTTATTATTTCAAGATATTTTCGTGTAATTTTGGTAAATATATCTGTTAAAATGAGATATCAGTGTTATTTTCATTTTTTCATAATTTCGACGACAATTTATCCATACATATAAGTGTGCGCGTGTGTAGATAGATAGATAGATAGATAGATAGATAGATAGATAGATAGATAGATAGATAGATCTGTCTGGGATAGCTTGTTTTACTAAATTAATAGCCAATAAGAAAGCAAAAATTTAAAGGAAGATGAGATAATACTTCTTTTTGCATATAGAAAGTCATATGTCGGCGAATTCACAAACTGAGCTTGTAATAAAAATCTATGGACCTTGAAGTTTTATCATTTAACCCATCATTTTGTTCATTGTTGGTTGCTGTGCACTTTGGCCAATTAAAATTTTAAGAAAAACGAGGGCAATATTTCAGAAATAGAAAAGAAATTATATTAAACATTTTCAATTTTAAATAAAAATCTCCTCTCAGCTTTTGAATGAAATGTTCACTGTTAGAATTTCCATAAAAAAGTGGGAGGAAAACACAGCTATAATCGAATGTAGTCGCGAATGTCTGCCAGTGATCAGCTTCGTTTTTGTTTCTTTGTTCGCTAAAAGGCCATTATTTTGAATTGTGTTAAAGTGGTTTCTATTGCAAAGTTAATACAAAAGATAGAGACATGATGAGCGAGAGAGAGAGAGAGAGAGAGAGAAAGAGAGATGGGGAAGGGAACGAAGAAGAGATGGAATTAAAGGCGCGAGGGAAGATGGAGAGAATAAAAAATGAAGAAAAAAAAAGAACTTCGATCAATTGAAGAGAGAGAGAGAGAGAGAGAGAGAGAGAGAGAGAGAGAGAGAGCCGAAGAAAAGAAAGTGATAAATAAGTTGAAGTTTCACTGAGTAGACGTGATCAAATTCATACAGAAAAAAAGAGAGGGTCTTACTAAGAATAAAAGAAAAGAAAAGAAAACATAGTGAAAAGACGAAGAAGCAAGAAAGTTAAATTGAACAAAGAAAAAAAAACGAGGTTTGAATAAACAAATAAAAAAAATTAAAGAGGGTAAATAAAGAAAAGAAAGAATAAATAAATGAAGAGATAAAAGATAACAAGAAAATAATAAGATAATGATATCGAAAAAAGAAAAAAAATTCAGAAAAGGATGAAGAAAAAAAGATGGAAACAATGAAAAAAAAAAATTATGATGTCGCAATAAATACGTTTCAATATATATGAATAGCTATTAATAATTAAAAAAAATATTTGAAAAAATCAATCCAGAATCGGATGCATTATCTTTTGTAGTTAAAAGAGAAAAGATGTACGTACAAAAAGTAAAATAAAAGAAGCAGTGGACGGAATTTTAGAAGCAGACCAAGTTAGATTCCTGTACCAAGAATGAATTGGATTTTGTAGAGGGAAGAAAGGCTGGTAATATTAATGCTAGACTTTTAGAAAATCATAAACATATAGACATCGATGAAATAATATAAAACGACAAAAGTTGTGATACATAAATACATATATATATATATATATATATATATATATATATATATATATATATATATATATATAACTGATACGAAGAAAATTTGTCACTTGGTTGATAAATATTATATTCAGCACCACAACTCCGATATTTTGATTACCGAACTTTTCATAATTGTTCTATCCACTCGTCAGGAGGTTTCAGCAACTGACAGCGGATTTTCTCAGTTTTCGTATTTTGTATGCTAAATTTGACGTAATTAATTAATTAATTGAGATGCTACTATTATTGAGATTTTGTTAATTTTTCTTTTTTTATGTGCGTGTGTGTTTGGTTCGCACACGTGTGTATGTGTATGCGTACACATGTGCATATATGGATATATCAAATGTATGTTCGTGTGTATATGTATGTTAATTCGTGTGCATGTGCACACGTAATATATATATATATATATATATATATATATATATATATATATATATATATATATATATATATATATATATATATTATCCGGGCTTAAAACTGGTTTTAAGCCCGGATAGACAAAAACTTTTGGAAGTAAAGTCTGATGATCCAGGACCCTGTTAAAGGGGTTATGGTGAAATAGCTTATTACATGGAATCTTAACGTGGTCTGTCTTTTATTCAAACATATGTGCTCTGAATTTTACATTGAGCTCTCTGGATATCATCCTCCTCAGTTCTACCCATACGGATTACCTAAATTTGCATAAACTATATATATATATATATATATATATATATATATATATATATATATATATGTGTGTGTGTGTGTGTGTATATATATATATATATATATGCATTACAGATTAATATACACTATATGATGTTGTAGAGGTCTCGATTCAACAAAGAAGGTAATAAAAAATATGAAATTTGGTTATTTGGCAAGTGGAATGAAATGAGAACTTTACAACACCCTATCCTTGTAGATACATAGGAAAAGATATACATACAAATAAAACGAATGAGATAGATAGATAGATAGATAGATAGATAGATAGATAGATAGATAGATAGATAGATAGATAGATAGATATGTACGTACAAAGAGAGATAGACAAATTTAAATAAAACGATACAGAAACACCGCGGGGTCACAAACACAAACACAGACACCTCTCTCTACATCTCTCTCTCTTTTTTCTCTCTCTCTCTCTCTCTCCATATATATATATATATATATATATATATATATATATATATATATATATGTAATAAGTTATAAATAATAAGACAGAGAAAGACTGCAATAAACTGAAAGATGTGAACGGTCTAGAATAGCTAGCTAACAAACTAAATTCATATCAAGAAAATTAGATGGATAGATCGAAAGAACAGACTGAAATAGATAGATAGATAGATAGATAGATAGATAGATAGATATGTTGACATGAAATATTGATTAAATATGGATCAACATCCGACAAAATTATAATGATAGTACAAATAGGAAGCGTTTATCAATCTAACATGTTTCCCATTTATTACAGCTTCATCAGAGAATGAGATATGGTGAAAAAGAAGGGAGAAATTCTGGTATTTTTACTCCTATGTTTGATTCTCAAATAGATAAATTGATATGAACAGCCGAGAAAGACAGATAGGTGGATAATATGTAATTGAATTACATAAAAGAGTCAAAGAAAATGGAGATTAGAAAATTGCAAAGACATTGAAAAAATCCGGAGAGGCTGATAAAGCAATCTTGTTAGCCTGGAAGAAAATTGAGAATGAATGAAATCTCATAAGAAATGACCATTTATGAAGAAATGCAAGGAAAGCAAAAGAAGAAAAAATGGTTTCCTTCGAATCCTTTCTTTCTATTTTTATTATAATTTTGTCTTCTCTTTTGATGGATTCCTGTTCGCGTCTAATTTGTCTTCCTCCAAAGATAATTTTCAGTAGAAGAACGCCGTGAAATTGTAAGGAAACGAATCCAAGTCTATTCTGAAACTTCCGTATTTTTACCATAGGGAAAGGAGGGGGGACGAGCGCTTGAAAATTGGTTGGCAGAAATGAATTCTTTTCTTCAAGCGGACGGCAAAGTGCGCCCACACACATTTAGCCAACATACGATTGGACCTCACACAAGGAGATTAAATAATGCACTTAATTGTCTTTGAAAGATAATCTATCTATCTATCTATCTATCTATCTATCTATCTCATTCTGTTTATATCTATCTATCTGTCTATCTATCTTTTTCAGTTTTTTCACACACGTTATTCACCCACTCATGGAAGCAAACACAGAGACACACACACACACACACACACACACACACACATATATATATATATATATATATATATATATATATATATATATACCAAGAGAAATAGTGTCGGATTAATATAATACATTAATTTCTATATCTATGTATTAATATGTAAACAATTAATGGTTCGACTATACTGCCATGGATCAGAATATGTATTTTTCAATCTTCTCCCTAAGAACGTTGCAGTATCTGTATATATATATATATATATATATATATATATATATATATATATATGTGTGTGTGTGTGTGTGTGTGTGTGTGTTAATTGGTATCACCACAAGCAATGCAGTAAAGCCACTAAAACTAAGGAATTAGGAGCAGAAACATTAATGAGCAAGCAGAGAAAAGAGTAATCAGGATGATAGTAGATAGTGATTGACACTGCATTAAATTTTTGCTGATTAAAGTTGGCTGTAAAACATGGAGCTGGAAAGGAATTCGATAAGCGTGGATGCGTGTAAAGAAACTGTTAGTATAGAACTTACGGCGACATCTAGTTCAACTGTAAACTGATGGTCTCTCGACGCCAGTCTAATGCTGCGGCCAAATTCATAGAGTCTCGGTACCATAGCGAATAGCTCATACGAACAATTACCATAAGGTATATAAACGGCAGAGAGGCAACCTTACAGTGGTTGACGTACGTACACACACACACACACACACACACACACACACACACACACACACACACACACACACACACATATATATATATATATATATATATATATATATATATATATATATATCAGATTGAATAAACTACAGACACAATGTCTTCTAATTTTGATGGATGATTTTTCCGTTAAAATTTCCGTTTTTTAACCAGGAATTGAACTCACCTTCTTTTGGGTCTGTTATTGATGTTAACCAACGGATGAGAGAATTATAAACCTAATGTTGTTTAAATTTCTTTGCAACTTTGTTATCATTTTTCATTTCCCAAGTAATGTGGTCAGCCACGCCTGATTTTCTTCCAAGATCATCATCAGGGATGCAAGTAGTACAAGACTATATGTTGTTCATTAGTACGTATTTATACAAAGTTGTACGTTGTTTTCCATTAGCAGGTAACTGTTTTTTTTTCATTATGCTTCGAGATATTTATTATGTAAAATTACATAATTGATCGGCACAAAGGCCGAAAAAGGGAGGGTTAAGGCTGGTCCACTAACTATCTTATATCTAGCTAATCGATTCACGACCCATTCACTTATTACAATTTACCCATTCACCACAAGAACTCGTCCATCACCAATCATTCCTCCATGCACCATAATACCACATACTCTGTAGAGGGACCTACAAAACGCCCCTCCATGCCATAACAATTTAATGATAGTAAAATATATATAAAATTTGTGATGAAAAAATGAGAGGGGAGGGAGAAGAACCCAGTAACAAACTGAAATATTAACACAAATCAAATTAAACATAACTGATGTTAGTAGGGCCCGTCCAACCCTTAAAAACGAGAGGCCGCTGTATTCTGCCCATGGGACAAAATCAAGAATCTCTCTCCCTATGGGTGTGGGAAAAGGATAAAAAATAATAAGGGCATGGAAAAATATAAAGCTGACCCAGTCGAGATGAAAAAAAGGCGGGCCAAAACAAACTGTAGGGTGATCATTATGCTTTTAATATTTTTCTATATTATAATGCCATAGTCACGCGCGCATTAAAGCGGGAAAAACCCGTTCCTTTATAGGCATTTCAGAACATTACTGCAATATTCATAGTTGATTCTGTTCAGTGCCGGCTTTAATTTTTTAATATAAATTGAGTCTAGAATCTGTAGTTTGAATTCGTTGTTTTATTGGTTGATAGTTGTGTTGTCGATTTGTATAAATACTTGTAGCGATATATAAACTTTTATATATCAAGAGCAATATTGGGGCGAAAATGTATGTCAAAATGGAAAAAGATTTCGTATGACGCGTTTCGTCCTTAGGACTTCATCGGGCTAAATTTGTTACGTTGGTTCGACTACGCATGCACACAAACTGGTATTTATGCTGGGAATTAAAAAACAAATTGTATATAATCTAGCAGATTTCATGGATGGAAACAAAAAGAAAAACAAATCTAAATGAAATCGGCGAGATTATACAAATATATAAAAAAAAATGAATTCCAAATTCCCAGCATGCCTCGTTCGTGCGCATGTTTAGTCCCATCAACGTAGCAAATTTAGTCCGTTTTGCAGTATAACTTACATTTTTGTCAAATTAGCATTTCTTGATTAAGGAGTAGAATTATTTTCATATTCAGGTTTTTAAATTGATTTCTAACAGTTATTTTATTATCTATTTGAAGTTGACTGGAAGGCATGAGACCACACCAGAGTTCCATAAGCGTGATGCGCGAGAGAAGAAACTGTTAACATCGAATTTACGGTAAAATGTTGAGACCTAACTAATGTATTTAATGTGCTTTCTTGTAAAAGATCCCTTTTGTGTTCATATAATCGTTTATTTAGATTCGTTAAAGTTTATCCCATGTATTCCTCGTGGCAATTAGTATATATATATATATATATATATATATATATATATATATATATATATATACATATGAAGAAATATAGTCTTAAGGTGTGCTATATCTATGAGATAAAGTGTTCAATATCAGAGATAGAGCGTGTGTAAATATAAAAGTGAACATTCAAGTCAACACTTAAAGGCGGCAGGCTGTTTCATGCTAGACCCAATCGTAGCCTGACGATTGCGTCTAGCATGAAACAGACTGTCGCCTCTAAGTGTTGACTTCAATGCTCACTTTTATATATATATATATATATATATATATATATATATATATATATATATATATATATACTGTAAATAATCTGGTTTTATAACAATTAGAAATAGTTGTTTTGTTGATAGCTTTTTATAAATATAATTATATATCTCAAATAAATCTATTTTCTGTCCTGGAACTGGTTATATTTAGACTTTTAGATTACAGTTTGCGTTTATGTATATTGTGAAGAAATAATAAAACTAAAATGTCGTTTCCTTAATCTAAGCACCTTTCCTGTGATTAAAATGATGCTGTCAAAGGTTACATAAAATAATGTAATTTTTTTTACAATCAAAATTTACACTGGAAATTTTATCTTTTAAATCAGTTTGTAAATTTTGGGTGAAAACTTAAAGCAGATTTTTTCAGTAATGTTCAGGAAGAGTAACATTCATTTGCCAATTTAGCTGAATCTCTATCTTAAAAAAAAAAACCACCAGATATGCGATAACAATATTTAGTGATAATTTGAAATAATTGCACTATGTATCTTAAAAATTCGTTTAATATCATGAATCAAGCTCCTTGATATATATCATGAATTTCTCTCTTGGCCATTAGTAGTTTTAACAGGAGACTTTTTAAGATAATACTCGTGATTTCAAAACAAAAGCAGCTTGAAGTTATTTCTTTAGAATCTATCAAGAAAATAAAACTGCAAGAAACACGGGAGCCTAACGTTAGCCGTTTTTTTTTCTAGAAGGCTATTGGACGTTGTAGTTAATGGCAACTGAGTAGAGAGTGAAATTAACTCTTTTATTATTATTATTAGCTGATGACCTTAAAACTAACGATTTTGCAACCTACGACACAGTTGCCACAATCACTAATAACTGCGCAAAAATTGAAATACTTGTGACACCAGTCATGATCACGAGCAATTAGATAAATGCTTTAGTAGTTGGATTGCAATGCAAATATAAACAAGATTGTTGACACTATTACTGATCCAAATGAAACTGAATTTCCCTAAGGAGTTAATTTAACAGATTAGAGCCACCTAGTGTGCCAACTCACAGGCTCATACTGAAGAAAGAAGAACCAATTATTCTTCATGGGAATTTGGATACTCAACAGTTGTGCAATGGCTCAACGCTGGTAGTCAAACAGCTGATGTTATATCTTATTGATGCGAAAATTCTGACAGGCTATGCTTAAGGTTAGGGTCGGCTTATTCAAAGGAATTCATTCATTTCCAAAGATATCCAATTTAACTTCAAAAGGCTGCAGTTGCGAATAAAAATATGATTGGCCATATCTATTGATAAATCTCATCCGTAAACGTTAAAAGCAGCCGAAT